GCTCAGCAAAGTATACCAAAGATGAATAAACGAAAACAACACATTATCAGAGGTTATGTAATAGTACCAGAGGTAAGCTTTAATGTGTTTTATACAAAGTATATCTGATGGGGAAGGGAGCGAAGTAAGAGGCTTCAAGGACATCCAGCTTCTTCTCATTCATACCATTAATACTAGTGTGTTAATGGTATTACAGCCACGCACATTCAAGCAACCCAACTGCCTATATGCTCCCCCCATTTTAGTTGCCTTCTACGACACTCACTGCTTACGGAGGATGAATTCTAACCCACATAACCAGTGAATTTGGAAGGAAACACTAGAAAGTTAAATTAAAAGCTATTAAGAAATTTATATAGGTAAATCAAAAGTAAACGGGGTGATACATGTGGCACAAAAAGACACATGAGAGCTATGGTGTGGAGGATTGTGTATATACTCGACTGACTGTTAGTGTCAGTCTATTTACCCAGAGCCTGCCAACCTTTCCACAAGCTCTGTCAAAGATTTGGTGAACATTTTCTCTACAGGTAGCTGTAAATAAATGAGGTACACTGGACACTGTACACTTGCCAGTATGATGTCCTTAGTGACACCTAGTTCCTGGTTCATTACTAGGCTAAAGGTCCAGTAGACTTGACACTGGATGGAGTTGGGTCTGACACGAGGGGTAAAGACATGATACATTGGAAGTGTAAACCCAGAACAAGATTAATGGTTGGCTTTAACATATGTTTGTATGCCCTTATTTGGATTGTCACCAGGAACCCATTCCAGTGTAACGTTTACCTGGAGAGAGGAGTTTACCTGGAGAGGGTTTCGGGGGTCAACGCCCCTGCGGCCCGGTCTGAGACCAGGCCTCATGGTGGATCAGGGTCTGATTACCCAGGCTGTTACTGCTGGCCGCACGCAAGCTGACGTACGAACCACAGCCCGGTTGGTCAGGTACTGACTTGAAGTACCTGTCCAGTGCCTTCTTGAAGACAGCCAGGGGTCTATTGGTAATCCCCCTTATGTATGCTGGGAGGCAATTGAACAGTCTTGGGCCCCGGACACTTACTGTGTTGTCTCTCAGTGTACTTGTGGCGCCCCTGCTTTTCATCGGGGGAATGTTGCATCTCCTGCCGAGTCTTTTGCTTTCATATGGAGTGATTTTCGTGTGCAGGTTTGGTACCAACCCCTCCAGGACCTTCCAAGTGTATATTATCATGTATCTCGCCTGCGTTCGAAGGAATACAGATCAAGGATCTTCAACCGTTCCCAGTAGTTTAGGTGCTTTATCGCACTTGTGTGTGCCGTGAAAGTTCTTTGTACACTCTCCAGGTCTGCAGCTGATGTTTCGGACAAAATACAGGAGGAGTTTCTTGAGCTGAAGTTCAACACGTTGGCAGATAACGACTTCAAAACTCTGGGTCTGGAGATGTTCTAGGTCAAATACTTTCATGTGTCTTCCCCTGGTCTCACGTCAAGCTGTACAGATTCTGACAATGTTTGGATTCACGTATCTTGTGAAGCTACACTTTCTGTGCCGGTTCGTGTCGAGATCAAATACAGAAACAAGGTGAACATTGAAGGAGAGTTGCGCTGTGCTCTCTCTGGAAGGTGCCTACATATACGGGATCTGGTACCTCAGCAGTTTCAAAAATCTGAATGTTTTCTCACTTTATATGTTGTGTATTTGCGATTCCTCCTTAAACAGACTCTTAAATAATTAAAAATAATAATGTTAAGTATGAAAACAAGTTTCTCAGTTTTCACGTTTAAGAGAATTCTGTCGTATGTTTGCATTAAGAATTTTGTATGAGGAAAGGAAGGGGGATGGCATGGAGATAACCAACTGTGATAGGCGGCGCCACCCAAAGCCACTTATAACCACTGCTCTACAGTACAATATTCTAACACGCGTGGCCTAAAAACTCCCTACATAGATTGGTATACAAGTTGCATGAGGAAGTTGTGGAGGCAAATTCAATATACAGTTTCAGTAGTATGTATGATAATATGAAAGAGGTCAAAAACTAGCTAGGCCGCTCTAGAGGTATGCGGGGTTATGACCCCCTCCTCCCTCTCTCTCTCTTTTTTTTTTCTTTTTTTTTTTTTACACAGGGTTTGACAAGGTTAAGGATCCCTAGCTCTATTGACAGCTATTTACAGGTTAAGGATTCCTAACTTTATTGGCAAGCTAAGAGCTGTTACCTACATCAGCTCATTTGAAAGCATTTTTATTGTTATGAGACATACAAGTAGGAAACAGGATGAAGTTGGAGCCATCTGTGGGCCAGCATTTTCATTTGATCAACTGACTTTATCTCGTTGACATCATTATCCTGTACGAATGTGTTCCATACTCGAGTCATCCTGGGTATGTATGATCTCAGATGGAGTGATGTTCTGGAGAAGGGTACAGCCAGAGTGAAGTTGCTGCTTTCTGCCCGTCTTGTGGCATAAAAGCTTGTTTCACGCTGTCCTCGAAGTGGATCTCAAGTGTGGTATTTTGACAATATTGGCCTTGTACATAACAGTAAGGCCACCCACATCCCTCCTATGTTGAAGGCTCTGCTGAAATGACAGATCTATCTCTCTCTCTCTCTCTCTCTCTCTCTCTCTCTCTCTCTCTCTCTCTCTCTCTCTCTCTCTCTCTCTCTCTCTCTCTCTCTCTCTCTCTCTCTCTCTCAGGCAGGATGATACAATGAGCCTTGTGTGTTCTGCTTCTCATAATTGCATTCTCTTGTTGCATCACCGTTTTTTTGATGTGAACTCTCCACTGGTTGAATACTGTACTTACATCTCCCACGCTGTATTGATTACTATGCCTTTCACGCTGTTGGTTACTATACCTCTTCACACTGTTGATTGCTATACTTCTCACACCTTTTTATTACTGCACCTCTCACACTATGGAATACCGTTTCATGTCGGGAGTGGCAAGATTGCATGGTGAGGTACTGGTGGCATCAACCAGGGTGTAGTAGCGGTAAGCAGTGTCATCTACATTGAGGAGAAGTGTGCGTATAATCATTTACATAATTCATGACCGTGCTTGCCCCCACCTTGACAAGGAACGGAATATGATTAATGCGCTGAATAACCTAACACTTCTAGTACTTTGTAAATACATCAGCACTCTCTCTTTCAGGCTAAGCTAGATACAGAATGAGGTTCCGCGTCAGCAGTCTGATGCTTCTGATTTGATATTTATTCAGTTTATATTTGGAAAACTAATTTATCATATTCATTGCAACATCTCACAATTTATTGCCACAGCAAATGCGTACAATTCTACGTAAATAATGTCTTAACTTGCGGCACATTTTTTAACGTCCGTTTTCTTACGCGTCGTTTTTTTTTTTTTTAAACATTTCCTGGGTACATAAGATTACTTCTTTATATTTTAGTTTAGGTTAGGGTGCATGAATTTGTACGAATGTATTGTTAACTGTTAAGTATATTAAATGTAACTGGCGCGACACGTCAGGCAGCGCGGCATCATTGTAAACGCAGGCGGCATTAAAATCAACACGTTTTTCAGAGGTGATGTGAGCGAAGCTGGCTTGCCGACGCAAGTATGTCTCCCTCTATATTTTTCATGTTCTTGCACTGTGCTTATGTCGAACAGGAACTTATAACTACCCCCTTGCACCTGTTCAGATCCTCCCATGATTTTATGACTAGTCAGTTTTATGCATGCAACACTGAGGGTTAAACATGACCTAGTTTCCTCTGGCAAATTAATAAGGTAAATTAAGAAGAGCATTAGTTGCACTAGCGATCCACACGTTACACAGACGCTACCTGTAGTCTACCTGTTGACAGTTCCAAGAATCATTGCTCCTGCTAAGTTCGCTATAATTGATCAGGTTATCAGCCATGAAGTCTGGTCTGGGAACGGGCCGCCGAGACGGTGAACTCCAGAATCGATTATAAGTAATCCCACCCTAGTATCCCCTTCATCGTTACAATGTTCTATATTTCAGATTAATTTGTTTAGTTTCAGGCCTATTGACAGCTCGCTGGTTAAGTTGACTCACCAGACACTAACACGAAGAATATTTTAATCTCTGAAATAAGGAGTAAACTCTGTATATGAACATAGAGATGGTACTAACAAACCCACACAACGACATTTAAACAACGATTAGAATGAGTACTACTGTACAAGTCACCTCAGTCCCAGGACTCTTCACTGATGTATATAACGCTATTGTGTTTGGATAATACACGTCTGTGTATACATTCTTCAGATATTCCCTCATCCAATTTAATATGCATGTGTGTTTGTGTTATTACTAATTTGGTGTTAACCATTTGTGGCTACAGGAGTAGACTTACGCTCCATGTGTACCGTCTTCCACAATTTGTCACCGTATAATTTTTTTTGAAGTTTCTGTCGTTGTACAGCTTACCACCTCCCCTTTTTAAATTCTTCAACTGGTAAACTACCCTCTTAGTTGCTATTTGTCATAGGCAATTGTTGATAGGCATTTAGTTGTCATAATTATATATGTGGATGGATATATGAATGAGTCGAAATATTCATGGATGTTTGTTGACAATATCAGATGCAGCGTCAGTTAACGTCATCAAGTTTAAATGCAGTATGTACTTTGAATCTTTTATTACCTCCATAGTCTTTGCTATATTCATGTAAGAAACTCTCCCTCAATAACACCCACACTTTATTTTTAAAATTAATATGAGTTTAAGGTTGAGGTCCAGAAATTTGGGTGCCTGGATACCACGACCATCATAATTGACTCTTGTTTTTTTTTTAATTCATTTATATGCAATATAGTATTTCCAGTTGAGTATTGTCGAAGGCATTATACTCGAAATTCAGAAAAAATGAGGAAGGCGACGTAAGCTTTTCTGGGTTTTAAAAACTCGTCATCAGTTCCCAATAAAAACAATAAAGGTAGTGGTAGGATTTACTTATCTAAATAGTGAAGAGAAGTGAATCCAACCATCAACTTAATAATAATCAGTTTTGGTGGCGTGAGGGTGAAGGTAGCAGTTGAGGTGCAATAATATGAGTTTGAGTTAAGGTTAATTTTGTGGCCCCCGCAGTGTACTGTCCGTGCCTGAGATCAGCCGGTACGTGGAAGGTGCGTGGCGGTGCGTGCGTGAGAACTACACCTGGCTCCTGCACCTGCGTCGTGTCCAGCCCGCCCTCGTGAGTAACAACACAACCTTTGTGTACCCACCATCCTTCAAGGGCAGTACTTTCATGTTGCTGAAGCGCTCATCATTCAGGGAAGTGGAGCTGCCCTTCCCTTGCATCAAATTTGATTAACTCCCATTACAAGTGCTATGTTACCCACCCGCTTCTCCATCAGTATAATGATTTGCGTAGGCTGCAGCATTGACTTAGCTCGGGTGAAGTGGGGTATGGAAATAAAACACACACACACACACACACACACACACACACACACACACACACACACCACACACACACACACACACACACACACACACAATGCGAATTATGGCATTTTATAAGTAAGATGCCATAATTCGTATTGTGTCCGATTTCCATAGGCTTGTTTATACTTTACCATTGTATTACTGTAGTGGGCTGCTATATTGTGTGAATGTTAGGCAACCAAGGTAATCATTAATCATTAATACCTAACGAAACATTTTAAAACCTATATATTTCAATGTTTTGCGTTTGTAAAGCTTAGTGGTTTTCATTCATTCTTCAAATATAGAATATATGTACTGTGATTACATTAGTATTACATTTGTGGCCTGGGGGAGCGCTAAACCCATTTTGATCAAGCAGTGCCTGAGGGGATAGGAGGCAGTCAAGTGTGAATACAAGAAAAGGAGGTCATGACCAATCGCTTGGATCAAGAGCCCTTCATCGGCGTTAAGGAACCTCCGTTGAGGAATGACAAATGTTACTGTAGCCATACATGGAAGCAAGGCACTGGGCCACTTTCTCTTATTTTTGCAAGTGGATGTCAGGAGAGAAAACATCCCATAGCTACCTGTATTTACTAGACAGTACCAGTCAGTCATCAAGCAGGAGCGTGGGAAGTGAGCACTTGTGCGAATATATATCTTCACTTGTTAATACTGTCAGGACAAGCTTAGCACACTACGGGTTAGTAAGATGAAAGGTAAATATTTCATGATTCTCTTTGTATTTCCTAATATCTCTTGTTCTTGTAATATTTTCCTTCCAATTTGTCAGACCTGATCTGGGTCGTGAGGACGGTGATCCCCTTCCCTACACACACGCTCGCGCGCGTGCGCTCGTCGACGCCAAGTGGGTGGAATATTAACAAACATATCATAGCCGACGTGTTAAGTATGTGAGCCACTCCACCATCAGTGGTGGTATCAATTGAAGCACCTGCTTCTTATGTTAGTGCCTGACTATGATGGGAGGAGTACACGTTCTAGTCCTTGACATTTGATATATGTGTGTGTATGTATTATACACAACCATGACATTGCCTTAATAAATTTAGAGTTATTTCAGTTGAACGTGAAATTGACGTGATTAAAGACTTGCTTTACAAAAGCTTGAACATTTTCATTCCAATAAACCATTAAACTTTATTAATCAGTTAATTTGTAACTGGGTAGTAGCTTATGTCCTGTTATATCCTCCTGTAAGCCTGACTGGTCAGACACTAGAACCTCGATTAGAGAACGGAGGATACAGATTCCAAACCTTGCGCTGAATGACCCATGCGGATTTAGTGCATGCGATCCTACAGGCTAATATCAACTGTCTTCCAGTGGGCTACTAGTAGACAACAATATGATGTTCATTGGCGACAAATTTCAGTTACTACATTACAGAAAGATTGAGAAAATAAAAAACGTAGGGAGGAGTGGCGACCAATTCTGGTCGTCAGTCCTCCCTACTGATTGCGTGATTAACCAGAGTACTGCTGTTAGTGGTCCAGCAGCCCACGTATCCATCAGAACCTGGTTGATTTGGCACACACGAGAGTCGCTTTAATTTCTTCTTGAATACTTCCATATTTATGCCAGCAGTATTTCTGGCTTCGCTGGTAGCAAGTTTAATAATTAAGTCAAGACCCTCCTTGGATGTTGACAGTGTTCTAATATTTTACTTCCCAGCTTTTCATTTGCGCTGTTGTATACTTCTTCCCATCTCTCTCGCGCCAGTTTGGTGTTATGGTAATGTTGATTTTGAACCAGTTCCTCCGCTGTCTTCCATTTCTTTGAGGCAGTCCCAGTAATTTAAACGCTTCATTGGCTCTATGCAGGCAATAAACGTTTGACGCATTTCCCCCCCGTTTCTGTTCTCTCTAGTGCTTTGAACGGAGGTGTTTTCACTGAGCAGCACTCTAAGCTAGAGAGCAAAAGTGATTTAAATAATGTCACCATTGACAATATTTGTCTTGCTTGAAAGCTTCATGGCCGAGCATGGCATGGGGCACTGATACATTGCCTGGTGACTCCTTACACGGTCATATCAAGGAGGTTTCATACTAGGTCCAACCCACTGACGGGGCAGTCAGTGGTTCAAGCGGAGGGAGAAGGGCAGGTTCAGAGACTGTCGAGATTGGCATTGGGTACTTAGTGAATTCCTTCAGTTGGCTGATCGATGAGTCGGGGCGTAGTGATGGCTGTATAAGTCCATTCTCCAGATCTCCCTCAGAAGGTGGGTGACTAAACCACGGAACTGGTGGGGGTTTGAACCCGTGAGTTATGATTTCGCGAGTCATGGTGGGTGACTGATGGTTGTGCGTGATGTCACCCAGATGGTTGGTGACTACTGGTCTGGGTGACATCACACACATTTTACCTGTAAGTATTCTTCTATCAGATAAATTGTCTCCAGTTCTCACAAGCAAAACAAACTATTGGCCCTTTCCATACATTATAACGGTAGGCATAACACTTGTTTCACATTCCCTCATCTGTTGCCCGGAAACTTTCTTAAGGGAAGAACTTAAAATGAGTTCTCGTACGGAGTTCCTTTATAGGTAAATTAAAATATATCACTGTCACCTAGCACATCAATTTTAAGTAATTACACATTCAGTATTTGCTTTAACCATCTAGCCTATGGTAGCAAAGGCAAACTTTTAATTACGTACTTGATTTACGGTCGCTAGCATGAGTAGTCTGTAAGTGGCTCTGTGGGTATGATCCACTTAATCACTACTGTAGATCTACCACTTGTCACGTCAGAGGGAAAGGTAAGAATACAATTACGTATACTGACCATATAAGTGCTTGCATGTAGTCCACTAAACGCCACTGGTCTCCGGCACGTACGTCAACACTGGTTTCAGACGTGGCTTCACCCTCTAAAGTAGGAGGGAGAACAGAGCTGAGACAGCCATTGAGATGGCCGGAGGTGAATTGTTTTGCACGACTGTTTCGGATATTGAAGCTACCTCAGAAACCAGAGCTAAAAAACTTGCTGGATATTTGTAAGCGAATTCAAGTGGCTTAACTATATTCCGTATTTTTGTTTCTCAGTGGTAATAGATCATTGTAGTAATATTGAGTGTTCTAGTATTTATTTCCTCAATCATTCCATAACAGAGTAACTGAAACATGTTCTCATTGAGTATCATATTGTTAGTGTCCCAATGGAAGACATGTCTAAGCATAATTAACAGTAATTCGGTATTCTCCATACTTTCATTATTTAGCGTAATAAAAATTGTATTCCCTTTTATTTTAGTATGATCGCGGGGTTTTAAGTGAGGGAGGGGAAGTGGACGTACACAACACCAGACACCTGGTATGACACACTGCAGTGTATCATACGATAGTACATAACTATAATTAAAACACACCTGACTGGTTTGACGATCTATAGTGAAACATTCGAGATAAGTATTGTAGCTGATAGTTGGAGGAGAGAGAGAGAGAGAGATTTAATTTGATTTGATTTTTTGTTTCGCCCTGTAAATGGTGCTATTAAACATACACAATGTATGTGAATTTAGTAGTTTTTAATATAAAAATAATAATAATATAGAAATGATAATCAACTTGGCAGAAACCATAGTCCTTGTGGTCATCAGCCTCTGCGCTGTAAAGGAACATAAAAACATTCACGTGAGTAGGAAAGGTAATAAGTACAAAAATACCTTGCGAGGTTCTCGAAATCAGTGCGAAGATCGGGCGTAGAGGAACCAGCGGTGAACATGAACTTAAATATATCAAATGAACGTAAATATGTCAAGTTTGAAAATGGCTATGAGGGTGAGTTGCCGCCTCGCTCTATTCAAGTGAGGATTGTTGTGGTGATCAGCTGTAGTGGGGCTCGGGCGTGTGCAGGAACAGCTGACTGGAGTGTTGTGGGTGTGGGCTCGGGTGATCATCTTATTGGCTGCACCAACTGTTGGGTGGGCTGGTGGTGAGGGTGAGGGTGGGTGGAGGGTGACGCTCATTGTGGTCTGGTGACACGGTTGGAGATTGGGGCAAATTATTTTTAGTTCGCAAAATTGGATACATCAGCAGTGTGCTGTTAACTCGTACGTAATAGCTACACATTGGGAACAAAAGCTAGCAATCATTCCCTATCATATTCTATCATGCAGGCTGGGGGTTCATACAGAATGTTGGGGTGAGTGTAAGCGGGAAGCGTGGGGGGATGCCAGCAGGTGGGTGAAGTTGGGGGATGGAATTAATGGAAGGTGGTGGGGAGGGTGCAGCAGGTAGGAGGGAATAGGGACGTGAGGTGGAAGGGGACTAGGTGATGGGGTGGGTATTAGGGTGCCAACAGGTAGGAGAGGAGTGGATCTAACCTAGTCTAACTTAAATTGAAGGGAGAGGGAGGGAAGGTTTAAACCTTGCAGTTGTGTTGTGAAGGTTGAACAAGAACTTGCCTGGTCAGAGACCGGGCCTCGGGAGCGATGATCTCTGGAAGCATCTACAGGTATACCCTTCATAAATTACCGAGAGAAAATGGAGGGATTGGTTCCAAATTTGTACAGTGCCGGATCAGCCGGGCTGTGATTCGTACGTTGGAGTACGTGCGGCCAGCAGTAACAGTCTGGTTGATCAGGCTCTGATCCACCGGGAGGCCTGATCGTGGACCGGGCCGCGGGGGCGTTGTTCCCCGGAATAACCTCCAGGTAGACCAAAATCGGCTTGACAGACGGTGAAAAATACACCATTGAAAAGCAGGAGTGAAATAAGTACATTAACATATAATTCATAACGTGAAAAAGTGACCAAGACATTTCAACATCCTTCGTACATAATGGGTATGTGTATGTATGTATATGTATGTAACATAGTGGCTCACATAGGGAGAACTTTGAAAGGGGTATATCCCGTATCACCAAATTTTGGCCACTTCCTGTTGTAGACTTTGGACTGTGCTCGGCTAGCATGTCCGTCTCTTAAAATTAACCTATTATACCACAACGCCAATAAATAAAATACAAGATAAAGGCGATAAAAGGTTCTGACGCTCCAACAGAAAACGCGGACCCACCGAGCGCACTAGAAAAATCTAAGTGACATAATCACTGTCTCTTTACACAATCACCCATTTGGCTGTCTTAGCAACGGTGAAATACTGTATTCTATTAAGATGATGGACTGTGAAATGCCAACGATGTCCTCATTGCCCTAATGAAGTCTCTTAGCTCGACTGACATTTAATTACTATATGTACAAAATCCATCCTGTGTGATGGTGTATGTTACGGAAACAGCTAGTTTCTGTTGCCGCTGTGTAACTGACATATGTAGGAACACAGCTAATGTAGCGAGTGTTATTTAATAACGAAAATAAAACGTCAGCAGCTGACAGGAACCGCATGTGACCGCACTCTGCACACGATACCTCAATATAACGTTACCGCACTTGCACCTCTACTGCCAGTATGTATTTCGGGCTGTGATGATTGTGGTTCTTTTGTTGCTGCTGGTGCTGTCAGTACTGGTGGTGCTGACAGTGGTGTTAGTGATGCTGTTGCTACTGCTAGTAGTTCTGGTGATGATAGTGATGATGTTGGTGATAGTGCGGCTGCTGCTGTTAAGTGATAGTGCGGTGATGCTGGTAGTGATAGTATTACTGCTGTTGGTGGTGGAGCTCCTGAAGGCAGTGCGGTTGATACTGCTGGTTGTGGTTGATGTGGTGGTGGAGCTGTTAGTACTGCTACTGCTACTGATGATAATAGCAACTTTTGCGGCGCTTTTTAAGCACACGTTATATGTCTGTTAAACAGCTTGACAGTCACAATAGTTGAGGAATTTTTGAGGTTTGTAATTCATGTAGTGGTGCTTGGTGAGAAGGTCCGGGGAGGAGGGGGAATTACCAGAAGCTTGGTCATGGACCGGGTCGCGGGGGCATTAAATAGGATAACATAAGATTTTGTTTGGATTTTTAACCCCGGAGGATTAACCACCCAGGATAACCCAGGAAAGTCAGTGCGTTATCAAGGACTGTCTGTCTTTATTTCCATTGGGGTCCTTAAATCTTATCCCCCAGGATGCGACCCACACCAGTCGACAAACACCTAGGTACCTACTTGCTTGCTTGGTGAACGGGACAGCAGGTGTCAGGAAATACGTCCAATTTTTTACCCTTTCCGAGGATCGAACCACGGACACTGTGTGAGGAGAGAGTTGCCTACCAGGCCACGGGACACCACTAATTATTATAATGGGTCTTTTCGTAGATAAAGTAGCTGAATATGCCGAAGAGGTAATGTGGAGGTTACGTATACACCCGTTGTCTTGTCTAGAGTTGGACTTTATTAACAAGAGGGTACACCAGGCAAATGCTTGTCGGGAGGGATCCAGGCGCTAGTCTTAGGGGAAGATGATAACTCAAGGCCAGCAAGGCACATAGAGGGAGAGGGCTGGCCGCTAGGATAGACCTAGGGGCCTGCCCTCTGCTGTTAGTTTTTGAAACCAGGCCTTAGGCCAGCAATTCCTTCTACCCGAAGGTATGTGAGACAGGTAGGTAGGCATACTGTCTACACTACAGAATACCCTCTAGGTAGGTAGACCATATGTACGTCGTGCTTTTATCTTGGAGCTTGTTACCTTTGTTTATAAAGTAACGATGATTTTGTCAGAATATATATATATAATATATATATATATATATATATATATT